TTTATTAACAGAATTTATTAACCAATAAAATTGTATGCTTTAAATAATGTTACACACATATATACCTCAGTTGTATCTCACCTCGAATATATCCCCAAAAAAGTTCTGTCCCAAAGTGGGGATATAAACGAGGTATGACTGTATGATGAACAAAAGTGGCTACAACTGTTTAAAATAAATTGTAGATAACTTTTATTATGATTATGCTTGAAACTCTAGTGCTGTATATTGAAAGAAAAATTAAAAATATGAAAAATAATTTACTTATGCAATAAATGCTGGATTTTTGTTTACATTTTTTTCTTTCTTTCTTGGTTTATTGTGAGTTAATTATAGTAATAGTGCTTATTTATTGATTCTTCTTCTTAATAAATTCTACAAGTAACTTTTATCTAGTAAGACATTCTCAATCATTGGTTGTAAAAACGTAAAAGCAATTTGTTCTTCTTGAATTTTTTAGAATGCCCCTATAGTGCTATAATTTTTTTGTTCATGGTGAATTTAATGTAAAGTAATTTTATATTTATATGTATATATACAGGATTAAATTAATATTAATTATATTAATTAATTATGCTATAATTTTACAGTCAACTTTAACGTTTGTTACATTATTATAATTAATTTAACCCCATAATTTAACCGCAATATGTTACTAGTTAATTAGTTAATTGTTAGCTGTATCAGCTTCTCATTTATGTCACGTAATAAATGTTCACTCGTCTGGTTTGTTGCAATACTCCCCATACATTACATTTATATAATGCTTTATACGATAGCCTCGTATAGACAATACTTATATTGAAACGCAAGAATGGTCACTCAACTCACATGAGAGACTTATCGAGTTGTCCGACTTGCGATTTTTATGTGTAGATCTGACATCTCGATTTTTTTAAAAAAGGGGCCAAATCCGGCTTGTCGAGTGTCCGACAAAGTTGACGATGTAATGATGATAATCAAACCGCATTGTTCAATTGGTTAACTACTTTAGCTCCACATCATCCCCACATCTAGTTTTTTGGCGTGCCCAAATCTAAAGTTTCATTAGTTGTGTTTGATAAATTACTTAGATTGGACTTTTCTAAGGCCTTGAGTGACAACTTGACTTCAACATAAACATTGAAAAAACACAGTTGTATGTTTGAAAAAGGCAAATTCTCAGTCAATTTTGCATTAACTTACTCGGACCGAAAAGTCAAATGATAGGTTATACCCATTGACCGACATTAGCTATCGCTGCAGAGGACATTGAATTGATGTAATGTTTCAGGAACGCTACATGAGCACTTTGCCAAAACACAAGAAGGGGTGTAAATAAATTACGTCGAAAGGATGGTCATTGACAATTTAAAAAACGTCATGACATAGGACGAATCCTTTACGCGATGGATAATTGCTGCACTATTCTTCTCGCAAATATCTTAATTACGAACGCGTAATGTCTAAATTCGTTTACGCCATTTTATTATCACTAGCAAGTATTCAGTCAATGCGATATATTGAATGTATAATTTGTTCTAGTAGTACTGTTTATTCTAATTTTGAACCAAGTCATGATAGACATGCTGGTGATAAAGTCTGATTGTGTTATTTCGGTATGTTATACTAATGTACAGTTGAACCTCCATAAAAGAACCCTCCATAAAAGAACCTCATAAAGAGCTTTATTTCATGGGATGGATGCGATCTATAACGTAATACCAGTTTTCTTATATTATACAGTATTCTTCTAAGAAACTGCTATATAAGGAATTACAAGCAATGTAATAAAAATTACGTACAAGGCTAATTCTCAAAAATGATTATATAATATAAAATTTTCGTTAGCCAATCAACATGCAGCGTTCTTATATGAAGGTAAATATAATTATCAGTATTGCTTGACCGATACATTGTCAGTAACATTAGTATTTGATTAGTTCAATAAATATTATGAGTATTTTGTGAGTAAACTCTATAACTATGATGGAACATAATTTTCTTTTATGGATGTTCGATTATAATCTAGTTCAACTTGTGATTTCTGATCATATTCGGGGAAATGGGAATTAAAATGCAGTACGCGATCAGTTGACTCAAACTGGTCCCGCACGGTAATACAAATTCTCGGCTGTGCTATCGTATGATCCGCTAAATATGTATTTAGAATCAGCAAGCGTAATCATACGATCATATAGTAATATGTCATTAAAACATCATCGATTAGAATTTATGAATGATACAAGTCTGTAAGAAAAACAGCTTATCGCTTCTCCAAGACAAGCTAGCTGCGGAATATTTCATGAGGCAACTATATAATAATACTAACGTTATCTTATCACGTGATTCTCAATATGGTGTGCAACTATAGTTGATCGAGTAAATTTGCCCAATTCCCAGGAGTCTACACAGACTCATCAAGCACATTTGACGTTGGGGGGATTGACGGGCGTTGAAAGGAGAAACGTTCAGCCACTGTGTTATTATATTACCCATTTATTTATGGTTATCGTTAAGGAGAGTTCATTGTACAACGGTATCCTGCCTCTCTCACTTTTAAACTGTGCTAATAATAGGTTGCATCGTTTATGCTTGTATTATCTCCAACGTACAATTGAGCATGCATTATCATCGAAAAGCATATTTAGAGATTGTTCGCCTAATACTAAATAACGCCGCAAGTTAAGGCCGAGACATCTGACCACATTGCTCGAAGATTCTGGGAAAACCCACCAATCCATAAATGACACCTATGACACAAACCAAATGATAGGTACCAATGGGGGTTGATGGCCGTGTATTCCGATAAGGGAGCATTTCGTTATACGAAAAAGGAAAAGTCTGCATATGGTTACACAGTAACTCCTCCCAATCGATCAACGGTGGTTTCATATTCCATCTTCAGAACGAAGACCCCTCGTTATGATCATTTAAAGTTAATTCTCACACATGATTTTATAATCGTATTTGTTATCTGTCATAAAATGGCGCTTTATATGGATGTATGTGCAGTATCTGACATGTAGCTCGAGTACACCATAGTTACTTACATTCTTCGAGCAAGATCTGCTACTATGCAACACTTTGTTAGTTTAGCAGCAACACGCGACATGTCAAAACGCACAAGAGCCATTGCAGCGATATCAAGATAACCTTTTCCCCTTAAAGACTTGCTCATTCTCCTTTACTATTCAAGACAAATCAGGCTACGCTTTTTTAACATGCAAATCTAAATTATCTCATTCTTTATTAGGAATTACTAAACACAAACAAATGCAAATATGCAATATAGTCTTTGCGATAATCTAAAGAAAGTCTAGCTTGTGCGAATGTTGATAAGGTGGAAAAAGTGGAACGACGATGTACTCACTTTTTTTTTTCCCTACTTACAAGAAAGGATATCCTCTCCCTCTCCCCCTTTTTTTTAATTAAATCTTCCCCACCTATACTTCGGACAGCTCATCGTGATGCAAAGATGAAGAAAGAAAAAGGAAAGAAAGAAAATAAAACTATTTTACAAGAGAAAAAGAAGAAAAGAATATTACATATATCAAAAGATTACCGGGCCCCGTAATACCCGATACAATCGGCAATAACTATAACAGTAACCAAAAGAGGTATCTGCACAATAGATTATCCCCAATATGGGCTATTGTTCATACTAATAACGTCATTGTCAATCTCTCACATGTAGCCACTAACAGATCTCTTTGACAAAGGTCTCTTGACATCGAATACGTTCCCCATCCATAACCCGTCAATAAGCTTGTTCTTGGCAAGTGCGTCTCCACTCAGTTTGTCCAGTCCCTCGGCACCCAACTTTTCGCTCAGGGCATCCTTCTCCCACATGTTTTTTTTTGATCCTCTGCGTTTGTGTGTTGAAGAGTATCGCTTTTTTGTTGAGAGATAGTTGTAGTTTGGTTCGAGCGGATTTACGTAGGTGTGGTTATTAGAGCTCGGGCGTATACCGCTGTGTACGTTTGATGCGTCTTTTAGGACGACATACGAAGGTGACCTCGACGAGGGATGCAAGGACGAGAGGTTGGTCGTTGCTTGAGCGGGAAACAGAAAGGATAGCGGGGACAAGAGGTATTTGTGCACACCCCAGTAGACAACGTCGAAAACGACCCCTCCCGAGAATTCCAAGACTAAGAATCCGAGACGTATACATATGATAACTAGTGCGAGAATGGATGTGAACATGGCCACGGTGCTGAAAGACAAGGCCACCGTAAGTAAGAGAGGTGAGAGGAGTAAGAGGATTGGTGAAAGAACGAGCGCTGAAGTACGCAACATTGTTATCTGTTTGTTTGTTATATGTCGAGTGCTATATTTTGTTGAAAATGTTTGTTATTGTCTTGCTCATAAGAGGTGGATGTTTCAAATGTCTTTTCACTGCTTTTTTTTCTCCCGACTAAAAGGGCAATAACCAATGATAAGTCGTATTAAATTCAGTCTTTTTCGTAAATTGTAATCTTTTCTTTGGCTCAGAAGTTAGTTTCTTTTATAGAGTGTCTGTGTGCAGGAAAACGTTGGGGTTGGATCCTGTTTGATGGGGTATTGTTTGTGGACGCTTCTTAATCGGGAAACAAGTGGAAATCACTTACAGTGTGATGTATAATTGCATAATTGCTCGAACACGGTTTTTTAATATGACACAGTGCATGATGTCATGTGGCTTCTTGGTAATAGTGATAAAGGGTTAATCGGTTTAAACAATGTATATTAACAATATGGTGAATAAATAATTGAATAAGATAATATAAATAAAAAAAGATTAGATATTTTTAAACTCTTCTGTTCTTGTCCATATTTTCCTATTTCTGTTATTCATATTAATCATATTAATTGAGTATGATGTGTAACATGTGACCAACATCACATGAGACGAGTGAACCATTCGGTAATGATATCTTTTAAACCTCCCCCCCCGCTCCTCCGTGAAACGACCAACTAACGAAAAAGATTGATAAACCCATGATCAAGATGGTCGTAAAACTCCGACATTTCATCATTTGATGCAATAAAAATATTGATAAATAACAAAATAAACACTCATTTTTAATCGACTAACTGAATTTATCTTTAACCTGCATGCCTATCAATTTTTGGATCAACCAGCATCAGGTCCATACTTGGGTATCGACCATTGTATCCGCACCGATAATCAGCCTTGGGCTGACAATCGTATGATAAGATAAGAAAAATCAAAAAAAGTGGAAAAAAAATTTTTTTTGTTGTTGTTATTAATAAACAAGGCTCATCCTCCGCCGCCGCATCGTCTGTTTGTATCGCACTGCATTATCATCTTACTTTAAAATGCCAAGTTTGTATTTACATGTTGAACTTTCAAAAAAAGAATGTGGGCTTTTTTTTTCTTTTCTTCGTGGTAAAAATAAAATAAAATTTTAATTTTACATTAGTTTAGATTTTTGATACACTTTTACCACGGGGGCCAGCTGCTTTTGCACCAAAGACATCAGGAGATTTATTATTTATTTGGCGTTACCCAACAGTTGCGTATATTAATAACTAGGTTACAAATGTTTTCTTGTGCTTCGTACCCAAATGCATGATCCCCATCGTTCTTTGTACAAGGAAACACCAACGAATAGACATGTTCGATATAATTAATTAATCTACGGTCGCATTTGGCAGTACGAGTTATGAAAGTTGAAGAGAATAGAAACGAGGAGAGAAGCACTGAATAAATTAATTTATCCTGATTTGTAATAAAAAAAAAAGAAATATAATATTAAAAACATACGAGTACGGTCGGTTGGGGGTAAAAAAGTTTCAGGCTCCATGCGCCCATGCATATTAATCACCTGACTTGTATAATAGATCTTTGTAACATAACATAAACCCCCACTGTTTATTGTAACTCGGAAAGAAAGAATCTCCTTTTCCTTGCATCCGACAAAGGCTGAGAAAAGCTCTGGCTTTGTTTGATTCTTGAATTTGTAACTGAAAAAGGAAAAACGTTTTCTGAATTAATTGGTCAAAGCACGCAAATAATATAATTGGACAATGGCCCAACAAGATATCCGCAAGACATCCCGTACCAATGTTACGAGGTCTTTAATTTCTAATTTTTCAAGTACGAAAACGCAACTATTTTATAACTCATTTCTCATCCAATAGAGTGGTCAATGTTTTTAACACGAGTCCACCACCAAGCGTTACATGAATTATCCTGTAGCTCTTGAAAAAGCGTCTAATGTCACAGATTCTCCCCCAAAAAACAAATGCCAATACATTCTGGTGAAAAATTATGTACAACTGTTATCTAAATCGCGTCACAGAAACGATCTGTGCAAGGCAATTCTCAAAGCAAACCTGTGATTATGGATGGTCAATTCTCACAAAAGCCCCCCCTTTTCCCCCAACATATTAATAACGTAGGGAACTCTTTCGTACAGCCCAAACACAATATGAAAAAAAAAAAAGTATCGTGGGGTATCATGGGGTATCATGGGGTATCATGGGGGACTGTGGATCACGGGGATCGTGTATCATGGGGCAACTTAAAATCTTGTATAACAACCGAATCGAATTTAGATTAGAGATAATAAATGCTATATTGAACATTAGAGATGGTAGATTCTCTTCGAAATTTCACATAATCGTCAAAAAAGGCATAGAAGCAATTCGGCGATTTCGCTAACCAACCTGCAGCTAGCCCTTCTAAATAGTAGAAATATTTACAATGGCAACAAATGAAATAAACAAATATCAAACAATAGTCCCGACTATTCAATAGTAAACGGTATTATCAAAAGTCCACCAGATAAAGCGTCTCTTTCAATTGTCAGTCTTTTCAACCGTCTGATAACCTAGCTTACTCGTCATTCTTAACCCCCCCACCCTCTCACATTCTAGTCGCTCACTCTTTCATAATAATCTCCATACTCGGCTCCGTCTCCGTATCCATCGCTATAGTTACTTCCTATTGAATAGTCATCGAATGGCTCCTCCTTCATAGCAGCAGCCAGAAAATCCTCAATGTCGTCTTCTTCGTCTCCTACGTCCTCTTCCATATTATTCGAACTTCCATTCCCATCATCAATGTTATGACTCATTACAAAGTCATCCGCTCTCCGTCTCTTTTTCTCATCCGCATAACCGTCATTATTATCATTAAACTCGCTGTAATTGTTTTCGTCATCATCATCATCAAACTCGCTACCTTCATCACTCTCGTTTCCTCCATCACTGCCATACCCATCAGCTTCGCCGTCAGAATGAATACCCCTAGACAGCCGCTCCTCACCTATTTCATCAGAATAATGTCGTCGACGTTTACGTACTGGGCCCATGAGTTTGCGAATAGATCTAGCAGAATTTCGAGAAGACTGTGAGAACGCGTGTGGTACGCGAGGGTGCGAAGTTACAGGAGATGGCGGAGAAGACGAGGAAGAGGAAGAGGAGGATGACGGGGATGCTAACGTTACTGGATTACGGAGCGGAGAGTGTTTCATTCGTTTAGTAGGATACGTGCCCGAGGAATTGGATGTTAGATTAATTCCTTGTCGCTTTAGTCCTCGACTGTTGGTTAATAACGAATGAGGAAAGCAAATAAGCAGGTTGGCAAATAGTGAAACGGTAAACGGCAATCATTCTGACTTCATTATCACTAATCATTTTCCCTTTTATATATAAACTCACCTTTCATTTCCACTTTCAGTTTCACTCTCAGCAGCACTAGTGTCTCCTGACTCTCCAACCTCATCAAAAACCTCCAGCATCACTTGTGACCAGTTCGTTTTCTTGTACGTTTCGAAAACTGTATCAAGCCCTACCCGAGGTCTCACAGAGTCGTCAGTACCGGTAAGCATACCTTCATCTTCTTCATCGGCAACGTTAGGGTGATCGGTTTCTGTATCATTGCCTTTCGATTCGGTATTGGGAACGGAAGGGAGGGAAGGAAGCGGGGAGGATGACGGGGATGAAGAACTGGACATTATAAATGAAGGCGATGGTGGAGGTATGAGGTAGCGTTCTTCCGGCTGCCGTTGCCAGCAGGAGAGCGAATCGAATAGCCATTCCTTGGCGACTATTTTGATGTTTTTATATCGCCTTCTTGCTAACTTGACTTTATCTGTGCCGGGCTGGGAAAGATAGATGGTATAGCAATACGTGTTAGTGTATTCGGCTATACGTAAACTGCTTATTCGAAATAATCGCTGACGCAATAATTGAATGAACTATTTAACGATGATAGTTAATAAGCTATTTAAATATCCGGTAGTTTGGCAGTTAATTAAAGTACCCATCGGATTTGTCTATACTAACGAATACTCGTTGAACATTTTATATATTACTTACGTCTCCGGCCACAAGATGCGTAACTCCATCCCAATCTTCGGTACAAACAGCACCAAATGACTCTGCACGTCGCCATATGTCAGCACTGTAATGGAAATGGAAAGCCTTTTAGTTTAATTGGAAAGCAACAATTAATAACGCATACATTAAGTCACCTTTGTTTTTCATTTAAAGTTGTTCGAATCAACCGAGTAAAGAGTATTTTCACTCCTTTGAGTACTTGCGATCGCATTTCATTTAGTATGACCTGTTTAAATGTTGATGGGCGTAACGGAACGTTTGAACGTTTATTACGTTAATATTTCGCACTATAAACAATATTTATCCATTTTCATTTCTTTCTTATTTTTACATATTCTCATACCTTAACATCAGCTCTCTTCGCCTGCTCTCCCTCCTGCTGTTCATTCTCTTCCGTTTTTGCGTCAAACGTATCATAGTACCTTTTATGCACCGTTTTCAACCTTTCCAAGATTATTCCTAGTTCTTCATCGTTGTCATTCAACACCGAACGTGCTGGCGCGCTACTTGTCATTTCATTGTTTCCATTCTTTTCATGTGATATAGTTATCTGATCTTCTTTTTCTTTATTTGTCTGTTGCTGCTGTTCTGCCTGCTTTTTCTCCAGCTGAGCAAGCGGACGCGTTATAAATTGGTTTTCCAACTCGTGCTGAAATTCTTCCAATTGCTGTTGCTGCTCGAGTTCTTCGATGAGAATATCCGGTACTGACGAGGAAAATGGTAAAGTTGGGGTCGATATTGGAGTCGTGGTAGCGGAGGAGGAATAATTGTCGGATAGGGAGCCGGCCGATGAATCGGATGTATCAATAGGTGGAATATCGATTTTGAGAGGTTGGTTTGGGAGAGGCGACGGTGATGGATGTCTGAGCTGCAAAGAATGGAGAGATGCGCGAGGTATTATAAATGAATGCTTATTAATGTGATGACGCGATGCCAATGGAAAATCATATTTACTAACCTGTTTTGGAAAGAATGATGCGTTGATGTCCCCTACTCCTTGGAAAAATTCATCTAATCAAGGCAGTAGCAAACAATTAGCTTTCAATAAAAATGCCAAACCTTCTGAACGAACGATGCGAGATATAAATATAATGGTAATACGGAAAGATACTCACATGGTCTAACTTGGATTAAATTAGGAACCCCTTTCCATAAGTCGAATCGATCATCTATTACTACGACCATGGAATCATCACACGGAAACAGTCGCTTTATATTCTTTTCAATGATATCTGATTGAATAATTAGTTAAAACAGAGTGAATATGAGAGTGACTGGGATACTTTTAATGTAGAATTTGTACCATGCTACTTACTTCCTCCATTTTCGTCTCTTGTTATTAATCGGTCACCGAATATTTTCTTATCTGGATCAATTATATTAGCAACTGCTAATGCATAGTTACGAGTGCCCATTGTGTAGATGTGAAGTTCATACATTTTGCGTACTTCGTTCAAGAAATCCATTAATCCAGGTCTATACGGGAAAAAAATCGTGCGAACGAATCATTGGACGAATTAGACCTCGACAATGACAAATAACAATAACGTCACGTATGCATACCTTAGTTTGACATAATATAATACATTACAGTCAGGTAGTTGAATTTTATGAACATCCTAATCATGCAAATGTAAGATAAGACAATGAACACCAATGATATTTGACGTGGCTTCTTTGTTATTCTCTTGAGCCACTCACTTACTTTACCTTCGTAGCCGCATGATTTACGTTGTTTTCATCTTCCATCCATTCTCCAACTGTAGGATCCACCGTCGCGTGAATTATAGTCAAATCCAAGTCAACGACCAGAGATAGCTTTTTCTCTTTTTGTAATCTTTCCGCCGTCTCCATGTCCATACGCTGAGCCTCCTGATTAATAGTACGTCGTAAACAAAAAATTGTAGTAAGAACAAATGTTATTCGGAGGCAACCGAACAGACTTTCAATAGTATGCGAGCACATACCGCACGCGTCACTGTGAGTCCAGCCGCTGTATTTGCAAGTTCGATTGTTGCTCGTTGTGTGTCGCTTGTTCCTGTGAAATCGATACTGCAAATGTAAATTGACGAGCATATATTGATGTACGCCATAGAATATGGGAATATAGAATGCGAACATTGTTGTATAAAGAGATAATGGAATTATCGTTAAATAGTAAATGTTATAGATAAGAGTTTGATTAGAAATTGAAGATACATTCGATAGTACACGGATAAAAGATAGAGACAGTAACAAAAGAATCACTATTAAAGCACTAGCAACGCACGTTGATGCACTAGTAAAGTAATAGTGTTTGCCATAGCAAAATATAAAGCAATAAATGCTCGGGTTTTACCTTGTACAGTCTTTTCCACACACTGCGCATAGTCCGTGTATCTGCATTGGATGGGTGCAGGGTTCACGGATCCTACCTATTATTGATCTGGCGATAGATAATGGTTATTAGCCACATTAATGAGTATTATGACTATATGCGTGTGTTTTAAAAAAGACTATTCCCAACTTCCAAGTTTCGGTCGAATTCAGAGTCACTCTGACAAGATCTTCTTCCTTCGCACCAATCAAACGAACAATAATAAATCAGCCCAAACGTGGGAATGCTCTTAAACTTACTCTTCAGAATAAATAACTTCACCCTCTTTAACCATTATCTGATCAACCACTCCTACAACAGGACTTTTCAATTCCTTTGTAAAGTTGGATGCGATAGGCAATAGCCTCTCTGTCCCATGCTCTTCATCAAATTGCGGTTGATGAACTACTTCCTCATGTTCGTACGTACACAACGGCTGTGTCTTTTCTACTTCGGTGCCTGGTCTAACATGTATTCGTCGAATAGTAGCGGGCAAATGGGCTCTGGGCAGACGTATTTCAAATAGACCTTCCATGGACTTCTCTAACTTGGCAGAAATAAGGAATTAAAGAACGAAAAGACGGTAGTCAGAGTGTATTTGTTAGGACCCGTGAGTGGTTTGACGTGAGAGCGGAATGTGAGAGGTGTGGAATGTGGAAAGACCAAATTTATACACTACCACAAAGGTTGGATCGTCGCACAAGCTTGCGATTGACGTAATCAGAGGCAGTCGATTGAGCATTCTATTGGACTAAAGCGTTCGTGAAACTACTCCGCTAAACACAAAAACTGTAAGTACTAAAATGGATATTTCTAACGAAACCGGACAAAGCGAATGGGGGCATCACATTTACCCTGCTGACATAATAAAAACCCCAAGAGTAGCTTGCTTTTATCTTGGGGAAGACAGAATTCTCACGTTGAATATCGGCTTTGTTTCGAACAGAATGCTCTACAGGTAACTGAACTTGCAGAAAGTAGGTCTTGATTATGGAAAACACAATTTACGAAAACAAGAGATTTTTACAGGAGAATAACTTGCTTGATTTTCTTGACATGCTCGAAGAAGCAGCAGCCGCAACTCAACTGTTTCTTGCCTTGGATCAGGGTTTTTTACATGACGTGATTTTCCCTCCGTGGTACAAACGTCTCCAGGTCTGCGGCACATTAGAATTTAGTTGCACAGCGAATATACAGTCCACTTTAATTACGAAAAATGTCTGCCAGTCTAGTGGAACTATTTTAAACTGTCGTAATCTAATGTTATCTTTAGCAATTCAGATCATCCGAATTCTTTATTATTCCTTGCATATAATTCAGTCCCTGGTGAAGTTTTCTCTATTATTGGTAAAAACTTACCTAAATAATACTGTCATTGATTTTTGACATCAATCAATTATTGACGCGTTTAAGTTTCCCCGACGGATATTGAGACGTGTATATATCTCATTGTGAAAACTGACGCAATGTCATTAATGAGTTTAGCACGCGTGGAGACAGTCAGAGATTTTATTTGAAAAAATAAATCCAAAAACATATGTAGATGCAATAAATTACGTTCCGTTGAACGTATTAATCCAATCAAAGGCGTATTCTGTTTCACTAAGACTTTTCCAGGTCTTACTACCAACATTTATTCTGTGCCAACGTCAGCATTAATGTTAGTTGACTATTCAGGAACTTTTGGTTATAAAGAAGATTTCTCCTAAACCAATTATTTTTTCTGGCTATAGCAAATTTCATTAAGAAATTTGGTTATAATGCTTATAACAGAACAACGTATTAGGCCACTAATTGACTATAACGATCTTCATTATAAAAAGAATAATCTCTGTTATAAACAGATTAAAGTTTAAAAAATTGTACCATCATAAATTCGTAATAAGTTAACTGCTGCTTTGGAATTTAGCTCTTTCGCTCAAGGCTTAGCGAATTCTCTATTCCCGCTTAAATTGTTAATACAGCTAGTGGCCTTTAATCTAAAGCTTGGGTCTGTGTTCTGGGAAGCATTCACTTCGTCGATAGTCGTTTCCCTGACAATTATTTCACCGACAAAAGTTTTCAACATTATTTCAGAGTTATCCTTTGTTGGTAGTTGGTCGGTGGACTCGTAATTCTACACCGTGCAACAATTTGATAAATTTCCCACAAATTATATTTATATTCAGTTTAGATTGTGTCTCTAGTGATGTTGATCTGAAAGTTTCAAACGTAAAGTTACATTCTTTCTTCAATTTCAAGCCTTAATCGTAATCTTTGTTCTTCGTAAGCGATTTCGATTAATCGGTAAATGAATGTCGCCGAGCAGATTAAATCGGCGCAAACGTTCGTCTGGCTGCAAGCCCGGCATCTTAGGCTCTGCGCCGGAATAACAATATTTTTTTTCCGACAATGAAAAATTAATAATTGTGCCTTTGGATAAACCAATTCATTTCGGTTGTTAATATAAAACGTAGTCAGGATCACCAAAAGTCCTGTAAATGTATTAAGAAAAGTTATTCCTATGATCTTGCGTTTCTAATATTGTACTAACTGGCCATAAACATTAAGATGAAGACAAGTAATGCGTTTGCTTCAGCTACAAAACACAGAGTTGTACAGTTGAGATTCCTGAAAGAAATTGTTTCATTCCATCACGTTAACTGGAAATCGTGGGTAGGCAGGTAACGTTGAACTTGGATTACGTTGAACTTGTCGGGCCCATGAGCAAACCAGAACGGTTTGACTTGCTGTTTAGAAAGACTGTTAGAAGAGCAAAAAAGAAAAAATCTGAAAAATTATATCAATGGCGCGTAGCCAAGCCACCGCCACAATATAAATATCATTCTGAATGGGAAACCGTTTTTTTACTCTCTCATCACGTGTCATAAAACTATCAAATCTTGTCAATTCGCTTTGCCTTTACTCAAACTGATCTCATCGAAAAGACATTATCTTCAGCGACTTCTCCACAGGTCACTGTTGTTCACCAATACTTTTGCCCTGAAACGTCGCTCATTCTCGTCATCGCTTATAAATGCAATGAAATCTTCGGTTCAGATATTAGGCTGTTCCACTGGCGACACAACACCTTCCGTCGTTATTCAATATGATACTAAACATCCGCAACGTTACTTATTTAATTGCGGAGAAGGAACACAACGATTGTGTACTCAGCATAAGGTTAAAATTACTAAACTGAAAAATGTATTCTTGACGCGAATTCATTGGGAATGCATGGGCGGACTACCGGGTTAGTTTTTAACCTTGATTTTATTTCGGTCATCGGAATGGTGAATTCAGTTTAAAAAGTTAACTCGTCTCCTCTACAATTTATGTTTGCTGTTCAGGAATGTTGCTTACATTGGCTGATGTCGGGCTGGCAGATATCAAAATACATGGCGGCGATAACTTGACACATGCTCTAACTGCGACGCGTTACTTTTTGTTAAGGTAAGTAATTTTAGAATAGCTCAATCGTATACATTCTGTCTTTCAACTTTCCCCCCCCCCCCCTTACATTCTAAAGAAGTAGACATATGTAAATTCTTTACAGAACTACCATGTCTGTAACGACACACGAATTTCCAGTGGACGGATCGAGTTTTCAAGATGAAAATATGACCGTAAAAGCGATACCATTCTGGCCGGAAACTTTGAAAAGGAGTTTTGCTCAAGAGGAGATTTTGGTTCCAACAAAACGCGAACACAACGAAACTTTACTTGATCACAAAAAAAAGATATTGTCTTTGATGTTTAATACGACCAAGCGTGGTTCAGAGCATGTCCGAGAAAGTGCTAATGAGAAGAAACAATCGAGTGATGGCGCATCTAGTGGAATGCGGAGCGACCAGTCGTCAATCTTTAAGGATGCAAGTCCTTTGTCAAAGAGAATGAAATACGAAGATGCCGTAACAGAAACTCATGCGTTGCTGGAATCTAATAACGAATCTTCTAACTACATAAAAAAGCCTGATAAGCCTGCCAATGAAAGAAGAGAGTTATATTCAAGAAGGTTGCCAAAATCAAAACCTAATCCAATTTCTATTGCCTATATTTGCAAAGGACCTGATTATAAGGGAAAATTTAATCCTAAATCTGCTAAAGAGCTTGGATTGAAACCGGGACCATTATATGGTAAAAAATGCGCGATATGCAGGCATAGTTTAATAATATAGACGAAAACTTACAGATTCTTTATTAGCTCAGCTCGCAAGTGGACAGTCAGTAACTGCGCCTGATGGTACTATAGTTCATCCTCATCAAGTGCTTGGCCCTTCCCGTCCCGGAGCGGTTGGTATCCTTGGCGACAGGTTTTCTTTTTCCTAATCACGATAACATTTACCAATTCATGAAACTTTTGTAGATAACCGTAATAGTCGATGTACCCTCCGTCGATTATATACAATCGTTAGTCGATGCTCAAGAGTTTAGGCCTTATCAGTCAGGGGATGAGAATTTCCAACCTCGAGTTGTTATTCACATGGTTGGAAATGGAGTACTAGAAGACGAACGATATCAGTCTTGGATGAGAAGCTTTGGCAATGAGACAGAGGTTGCATTGCAAACTTTGATTGAAACTGTCAAGTCATCCAGTTTTTATTCTTTTGTTCACACTTTTATTTGATGACACATAGCATTTAATAACAGGCGAAAAATACAATGCGCAGAGAATAATGTTTAATAGTGCTGCTCTAAGTCAACTAAAGCTTTCGAAAATTGATTCTAATCATTTCCGTGTTCCGTTTTATTCTAATCGACCTCTGAAGCCGTTGAGTGACAGTGAGTTACCATCATCGTATATTTCTGTCACATTGTATTTTTTTGTTAATCAAACTCTTTTATTATTAGTATCGAACCTGCCTAGTAAAACACGAGAAGCAGAACCCAAATTAATATATCAAACCGAACCAGTGGCGCAGTTGGATACTTCACAAATTGTCTCTGGTTTCGACCCAAATCAAGCGCTTCCAACAGACGACGCTCTATGGAAAGAGTATCTAAAAACTGTGGAAGAGGTCAAGAACGAGATTCAATCGACCAAGTTAGATCCGGTACATTTTCCCGGAAATGACGTTATTGTGACCACATTGGGCACAGGCTCTGCACTACCATCAAAATATCGTAACGGTAACTTTGACTTTTCCGTTGTGCACGTTAATTTTTTTTATATTTACGTTATTAATAAACTTTATCAGGCTTATACTATTTATATTTCTAGTTAGTGGCACACTGATTACAATACCTTCATGCGGCACCATTATCCTCGATGCCGGTGAAGGCACACTGGGTTCTATGATTCGCCACTTTGGTCCGTTGGGGAGTCCTGGACGTGACGGTCGGATGAGCCTTGAGGAATGCTTGCGGGGGATCAAGTGCATTTTTATTTCTCATCTCCACGCTGATCATCATTTTGGCGTTGTGCGAATACTAGACGTGTGGAACCGGGTATGTCTATGATTATTGAGGAGATGGGGCGAGGACAAGTCAGAACCTGACAAGTATTACAATTACAGCTTCAACACGGCACTGATGCTATGATATATGTTGCTGCGCCTGGAAGATTTATGAAATGGTTGGATGAATATAGCGACGTTCAAGATATTGGACTTTCAAGAATACGATTTATTGATAATAGAAACTTGCTGAGACGAAACCTGTCATTAAAGTCGACAGATTCAACGTAAGACTGACAAGTTTATGATGACTATATTGTGGACTTTTGTCTTTAACCAACTTGCTTATTTAATAGAATACAAGACTTGCTGAACTCGCTAAAACTGCAACGTATGGAATCTGTTGAAGTTATCCACTGTGCTGCAGCATATGGTGTGAGCATAGAACATACTCAAGGATGGAAGATTGTGTACGTGATTATCTAGACATTTTAGACTACGATTACATAACTGTGATAACACTAGACCATTTGTAATCCACAGCTACTCGGGTGATACTCGGCCATGCGAGGATTTGATTTTTGCGGGTAAAAACGCGACCTTGTTAATTCACGAAGCTACATTTGAGAATGACTTGGTTGAAGATGCTCTTGAAAAGCGGCATAGCACTACAGAGGAGGCAGTCAAAGTTGGTGAAAGGCAAGTTGACAGGGAAACTATTCTAAATAATATGCCAATTATAACATTGCGTTTATTTGAATTGATTTTTTTTTTCTTCATCTAGGATGAATGCACACTCTGTTCTTTTAACTCATTTCAGTCAGAGATACCCAAAAGTTCCAATATTCACTGATGATCATGGGACAGTAGGGATAAGTTTTGATTTAATGGAAGTCACAATAGGCGATTTGTACAAACTTCCAAAATATGTCAGAGCTCTTAAAATTCTCTATGCGGATGAATGTGAAGAAGCAAAGGAAACCGATTAAAAGTAAAAATGAATTCAACAGCAATATTCTATGGACAAACGATTAAATAGACGTCTTATTAATAGATGCCAGACACAAGCCTAAAACTCAAAAAGATACAAGACTGATATTTAATTTTATTAAAAGATCATTACCTAAGTTAATCGTAGACATCAAAGATTTGTTCCGTAAAATGTTGATTGGAAAACAAAGTAAACCCCTTTTAAACCAATAATCACCATTCATATAAAACAACGTCTATAAAAATTTGCTCGAAATGACATAAAATCCAACACTATAACAATCTCATATTAATAGTAATAGTGTATTTTCACAATATATCATGTGACATACGGTATTAGTATAGCGGTTTCTCTTGTGGCATCCTGCAATATTAATATCTTCAGATGTGTAACGTCCATAAATCTGCCTCTTATTCAACAAATACGTTTAAATGTTTCTAGCGTTTTCGAGACAATCTAGCGACGTTTTTATCGATAATTACCTTGGTCTTCCATCGCGGCAATCGTTTGAAGTTACCATGAAAGCGTAATATTATGCCATTAGTTGCTAGGCGATTTCTAACGCTTTCGAAATGTTCCTAACATGTTGAGATACAAAGAGGCGTATTGCGATCTCAGTAGTACAACATTCTCTTATTAGTACGCATTTTCTTTTTGAGACGTCGACTGGCAGTTATTTCTCCGCTATTCATTGCTTTCAGCTGGACCCATTAAAATATTTCTTGCTCGGGTCTAGAGAAAGCTTGAAACGCCTCACGTAATTCGGCCAAACCTTTCTCTCGGAATCTTTTTTGAGCAATCACAACCTCTCTCCAAAAATGAATTGCTTGTTCATACCCGGTAGAATTATTGTAGTTATTGCTATTATTCATATACAGTTAATCCTATGTATACTTTTATCAATTGCAAGATTCTTTGACAACAAGTTTATTTCTTAAACGATTATTATTGTGTACGTATCTGCTTCATTATTAAAACGAACTTTAATATTGTACGCTTCACACAATGTTGCAGCTATGTTATTTAGCGTGAGAAAGCCTGTATTACTAATAAGTAATTGTTATCAGTTTAAGAGATTGTTCGCTTTGGATGATTGTATTAATCACATAAACACGATAGCGACCGTGGTTATGAGATGATTACGATATCCAGTATGTAAAAAATTTTATTGCGCTTTGTTTCAATGGGACAGGATAAGTGAACATTTGCTCAAAATTGCCTATTGTGGCTGGAAATTTATCTTTTTTTTATAGGTCTATCTCTATCCCATCTCACTAACAATGTATTCCATGTTCATGCTGCTCGCGCCTACTATATCCCCATTCAACAAAATGGATAATTAAAGATGATACTATTAGATACCCCCAAATACCTCTTATAGCACATCCCAATAATTCACAAAAATTGCGGTTTGCAGCGGTTAATCCGATTAAGCTATAAGTTTGCATCAATACTAATACCTACAGTAAAGTCTCTTTTATATTATTATATAAAAACTATCTACTTATCGGTTAGTGGAGGAATATGCTTGTTGATTATAATCTAGAGCGTCTCTATCTAGCTTATGTAGAAATTACAATATAGAGTGCATTGTGTAGTTTCGTTTAATATAGTGGAGGAACATTGATAATCAGTTAGGGCGGAAAAAGTATTTCTTCTTTGTTATGACTCGGTACCTCTTTTTAATTTAATCAGAATCATGAATAATACAATCT